GTGCAAAGAATAACAACTAGAAAAAAATGCATATGTATAATATGCACTTCAGTGAAAATAATAAATGGTTAAAAAATGTCCATGATCCTGAATCTTCAATAGTCCATTAGGAAAATAGAAGATACAACATTGGATGTACAATAATCTCAGTCTCCTGTGACCATCAACAGAGAAATCTTCTGGAATGCACCTCACCTTTAACAGAGACCCACCAGGGTCTGTATGCGCTGTTCCTCTAATTCAAACCAGGTAGAGGAAGCACCTGATGCCGAACACCTCCAGTGATTTCCTCCTCTCAGGTACAGACTCTTTTGCAGTCTCAGGAGTTGAAAGCAGACAATTCATCCAAATGGCCCATGCATCAAAATAAAAAGTGGAGACTCGTAGTGCAGATGGTTTTAAAAGGATACTAAACTTTATTAAAAAAGGATACTACTCACATATCATAGATAAAAGTAAGGTTTTTAGTAAGCAGCCACAGACACTGTGTGCAATCGCTCAGCTCCTCTACTCCACCCTACGTACGTTACGTCAAAGGGCATGACTTCATTAGGGGTGTGGAGACAGGAGCTAGACCGAACGCATATATTAAGACCAGTTGTCATGGTAGCCACCATATACAAATGGCGGCCATTACATTTTCAAAATTAAAACAACATACTAAACATATTACAACTGAGAGTAAAATACAAAAAAGTGATTGACACTGTGGCACATATTACCATTCATCCAGCTAAGTGGGTAAAGCATTAAAGCATACAGCACAAGGTAAGTGGAAAATAATTAGATTAGATTACTTATTTTCCACTTACCTTGTGCTGTATGCTTTAATGCTTTACCCACTTAGCTGGATGAAGGGTAATAAGTGCCACAGCGTCAATCACTTTTTTGTATATTTAATTGTATTTAATATTGTATTTTAATTGGAAAATAATTCGATTAGATTACTTATTTTCCACTCAGAAGCCAGAACGGGTTATCAGCTAACCCAGGTCAGGGAATGCAGAGAGAAAGATGAACGAGTACAAAAGTCAGGAACCAGGAGATCAGTAGATAGAGTCAGGATCATACATGGACCACATGAACAAGCAGAGAGCATGTGGTAGGTCTGAACAAATGCAAGGGCAGAAACCAAGTGAAAAGACTGATGATTATATATTGAATTGGAGTTGCATCATCACTGTGAGACAGGAAGTTGCTAGGAGTTTGCCACTAGTTGCAGAATGATGCATTTTTACAGATATGGTCATAAAAGGCACCTAGGAGCAACAGTCAGTGTCAGAAACACTGAAGCTGATCCTGCAGCTCAGGCACTGGTGCCTCCTGCCTGCACTCTGCTTTCCACAATACCATTTAAAAAAAAAACCACATAATCGGTGGTTGATTTATTTTACCCAGTTCTCTGCACTTTGCAGTTTACTAACGAGATCTCACTGTAGAGTACTGGTGACGTAGTCTTCCCAGGGGGTGAGGGGGGGCAGATGTGAGGCCCAGTCTATGTCACCAGTGCCTACCAAAAGGCAGGAAGCGACACCAAAATCTCTTTGACTGTACAAATTACTTACCGATATTTAGGGAAGTACACACAAAGCTGCAGGAACAATGGATTTTTTGTGTTTGGGGGTAAAAGTCCACTTCCATACTCTAATTAGGTGCTGTAGGCTAACACCGGAAGGGGTGTGTGTGCCTCCCCTGCTATTATGCTGGATACATATTCAAACCCTTTCTTCTAGGCACAGTGCTCCTGAAGTCTATAAGAAACCTGAGTTGAATATTGAAATGTATTGACAACCAATTGCTACTACACGGTTAATGTGTAACATAGAACCCGTATAAAAATAGAGACACAGAAAGGTTATGGTATGTTCACACATGCCAAAACCACAACTGGTTGCCATGAGAACCACTTCTGTCATATGCCCATATAACCGAAAGCAGAGTAGAAGCTTCAAGATAATACCTTAAAGAAGATGTGCAACTCAAACAATACTCTCCCTGTACGGCACAGACAAATTTAGACCACCCAGCAGATTTAAAAAACAGAACAGTAAGTATCTCACTGTTGAGTAAAAGGTGGATGTGGAACAAGCAGAGAATTTCCTTGTTACTATAGTATATCAAAAGTGAGATTATAAAAAGTAATAACAATATTGCAATACCAGTGATCATAGTTAAAAATGAATTTCCACTTTCCACAATTTTAAGAAATAACAAACTCCAGACATACAAAATGCTGAAATCAATTTCTACAAATTGTTTAATAACATACTACAAACAAGAGGCCACACTGTCTGTTATCCCAACATGGTATCGCCCCGGACTATGTACCACGGTTGCCTCCGGTCACATCACCGGCCGCAGTCAGCCAATATTGACGCGTTTCAGGGACGAGCCCCCTTCATCGGAATCATAGTTTGCTTTCCCTGAGAGTGGGGTATAAGACTGGAAACCGCGGTTTGTGACCGGAGACAGCCGTGGTACATAGTCGGGGAGATACCATGTTGTGTTAACAGACAGTGTGGCCTCTTGTTTGCTCTTAAAACATGATGAAAACGTTTGCTTGTAAGTACATATAGCCCTTGTTTTATTTATTTTAATAAACGATTTTACACACGGAGGTGTCGCTGTGTTCCCTTTTGTTTTTATGTTCGTGGTGGAAGCGCCAGAGCCTTGGATGAGCAGCCCCTCAAGTCTGTGTGAAAAACTGTGATAAACTGTGGAAAACTTTGATTATGCAACAGCAAGTGGATTGCTCAGCTGGCAGCCATTAGCGCCAAGAGTTAAAGAAAACTGTCTGATTTTTTTAGGCTGAGCTGTGAGCCACGAATGCACCGCTGTCTTCACTACTTCATCAGAGGTAAATCTTCGTCCTCATAGGGCTGCTTTCAGGGGACCAAACAGGTGAAAGTCTGATGGAGCAAGATCAGGACTATAGAGACGATGCTTTAACACCTCAAAACGAAGTTTTTGCAGAGTGTCGACAGTGTGGGCATTGGTGTGCGACATGCATTGTCATGCAATATCACAACGCACTTGGATAGCAGTCCTCTGCGTTTAATCCTAAATTTAGGCTTCAGCTCTTCAATGAGCATCTCACTATAGAACCTTTTTCGTGATAATGTTCCAATACTGGACCTTGAAAATCCCAGAAAACTGTAAGCCTCCGTTTTCCAGCTGATGGTTGACTTTTGAACTTTTTCTTGGTCGGCGATTGAGTATGTTTCCATTCCATACTCTGCCGTTTACTCTCAGGCTCGTAGTGATGAATCCATGTCTCCTCACCAGTAATGATTCTCTTTAAGAAACTTTCACCTTCCTCCTTCTTGATGACTAACACTTGTGCAACCTTCCTTGAACTTCTCTATCTAGTCATACACACTTCTTCGCAACAAAAAACTTTCTCCATACTGCGCACAAAGTCTTGGAAAAAATGACAGCACCAGGCACACCCTCAGACCACAAAAAAAGAATCACAGAAGAGCATCCATTTTTTCTCGCACCACAGTTACAAATGAACTGACATAACACCCTTCACACGTGCACAGCACTGACTGGGGAGACAGTAGCCTTGAATGGAAAGCGACCAACATAGGTTTTAATACAACCGGAGTGCGGATAATTTTTGACTCACCCATACCAGGAACTAATCCCCATGTTATTTACACCACTGAGAATATAAAGTGAATATGGTTTAATTATGTGTCAAATGCGTGATATCGCGGGATTTATCGCTTAGTGTGATTGGGGCTTTAAGGTGTATGCAATTTTACAGAACAGTACAAATCTCAAGAAAAGCATACTTATCCTGATACTCCTCACAGATCCGTTACTATACTTACCTCTGTAATCACTCTATGCAGAGCCTGACCACAAAACCTCTGTGAAACTGACTGCAACAGACTGTGGGAGCTCTGAACAAAAGACAGCCTGATACCCGATCAAGGCGTAACTAGATAGACTGCCCCAATCCTTGGTAAGCACATTTCAATGTCCTAAACGACTGCACAGCTGTCTTGAACCTTTTTGTTCATAACCTTTCACTTTGTTCTGCATAGCTCCTATATTTGGGGACATAATAGTGATGGGTTGCAATTGATAGAGGAGGGGGGTGCTGAGTCAGTATCTTTGCCACCATAACTTTCAATTAACACCTTTAAAATTTACACATATCTAATTGACAGTATTGCCTTTTACAGCACCCTTGATTCTTACTGGTTCCCTCCCCTTTTTGGAACCACAGATGGTGGCTAGATTCTGAGAAACAAATTATTTGTTAGCATCAGCTGCAGTGAAAGTGAAATGGTCAGGGGACAGGTGGATTCGGCTCTCTGTCACAAAACCACCCAATGCACTAAATGCCCTCTCTGACAGCATACTGGCCATAGGGCACACCAACAGCTTGAATGCATACTAGCTAAGCTCCAGCCACTGGTCCAGCCTGGACACCCAAAGGTCCATGGGGACCGTGGTGTTAAGGTGGTCTGCATCCTTCCTGGACCCTAGGTAATCCAAACTCATATGGTTTAGGCATTGCATATTTCTGCTTTCTCTCGGATGGCAGCTTGAGATCTGCCATTTTAGTCTTGTATCGGGGATCCAAATTGGTGGCTTACCAGCAATGGTCCATCTCCTTCATGGCTCAAATTCTGGGGTCACTTCAACATAATCCTGGCTTCAGGGGCAGGGCTGGGCTGTTGCTGTTGCATAGGCTCTTGGACACTTATTGGGGACTGGTGGTTCTGGTGAATAACTGGATGAGGTCATTCAGGAGAAGGGGATAGAGATGACTGAGCTGTCACCATCACCAAAGTGCAGGATATTGGGCAATACCACCAGCTCCAGCTGTGTGCCCCCACCTACGTCCTACCCAGCCACCAGCAAATGTACCCAGTGGCCCATAAAAGGGATGTAATGTCCCTGCCCATGATTGCTGGAATATGTGCCTGTGATCATGTGGACCTTGCCTCTGACCCTGTGGTCCAGCGACACGGAAACATTACCTTTCACCTGCTACCTCCACGTCGAGGGCAGGGATGGCGAAAAAAGGTACAGCACAGGACACAAAGTTGCAGAAGCGGGAATACTCCACCAGCTGGAATAGGAGCAGCTTGGAAAGGGGGTGATTATGTGAGAATTTTTTATTCTGCTCCAGAAACTGAGATAGATGCACTTGCCTTGTCACGGATGCTGCTGAAGATGGCAGGGTGAGGTTGGGAGACTTATGGCAAGGTTCAGCCCTACTCTGAATTGCCCCATGCTGACCCTTTTCCCAACTTTAACCATGCTTGATACACTACTGGAAGGCTGGAAACCGCAACCATGCTGTTTGCAGAAGATGTGTTAAAATAAGCCCAGGCTACTGAACTATGTAGAGTAGCCATGGAGATAGCAGTGACCTGCACCTGTGGGGCAGAGCCATCCAGGGGAATAGACACAGTTTACAAGCTGCCTCTGCCCTTGGATACATCCTGGCTCTCTGATGTTGTTCCTTTCCATCACTTACCTCCTTTACAATCTCTGGCACCCAAGTATGGTCTGCCACCTCGTCATCCACACCCTCCTTATTACTCAATCCCATTTGGCAGTAATCTATAGCTGAAGGAACACCTGCCCATTGTGCCCTCCCTCTGTGCTCCTGGCGCTTTCTTCCTCCACATCTGATAACAAGAATGTGTTAACATCTTTTTGTATCAAGTGACTCATGCTGTGCTAAAATTATTCAGCTAACTCAAGTTTGCTGGGGAATGGGGGCTTAGGTGTGGAAGAGGAGGAAGGAGAGGGCACGTTTGCAGCTGGTAGAGAAAATGTTCTCCTGTGAGCCTGAGAGGAGGAGGAGGAGGAGGAGGAGGAGGAGGAGGAGGAGAAAAGGTTGGTTAGCCACTCCACTAGCTCATCCACATTTTCTAGCTACATAGCATGCCCACTGCCAGGAAGAAAAGGAAAAGGTCTGTAGATGGAGCTGAGGATCATAAGAAATAAATACATGTTAGTCGCTAGATACAATTCAAAAAGAATGCTGGTGAGAATGAAAATATAAATGTAACCACTCAATAGTTACAGTTATAGTTACATTGTTTACATGTATCTGCTCCCTCCAGTGATTTCATGAATTGTAAAATTGTATCTCTTTACTGACATGTAGTTTTCATATACTCTACTGTATATAGCAGAGGTTAGCAGCATTGTATAACAGCAACTATCTCTCCCAGCAAACAACACTCTGTCAGCTATCCCTGTCTACTCCAAGTCCCCATACATACTGGCAAAAGGCTGCTGGGAACTCTACTGCTGTGTTGAACTTGTTGAAAGGACTGCAATGGTCCAGACAGGAGGAAGAAGTGAGAACACAGCCCCTGCTAAGCAAAATGGTGATGGAACCACTATAAAGACTGCTAAATGTAAAGTTTTATTACAGGGCCAGTGTAGCCATAACTGTTTATGAGTGGACATTGGTGGGTTGAATCACCTACTGGTGACAGCGCTCCCTCCTGCTTGTCTCCAGCTCCAGCGATGGTATGTCACTGGGCAACTTCATGTCCTGTACACTGTTTATAGAATGTGATGACTCAGAGACCTTAGACCGCTGCAGAAGAAGGGGTAACAAGGCTGGACAGAGTGGTTAAAGAGCAGATCAGCTCAGGAGAATGGGCCCTCACAGTTCTCCTGCAGTGCTGGAGAAAGTAAATATCTGAAAAACATGAAATTCAAGCGGGGGATAAAAGTGAGGTTCAATCCGGTGCCTAATAATGTACAGAACATACAGCAGTGCATGCATTTACACAAACTTTTTAAGCTAAAGCATATATCTAAACCTAAAACTAGAGGTGCGCCGAAATGGAAATGATAAAACCGAAACGAAACCGAAATAAAAAAAGTTGTTAGGCCAAAACCAAAACCGATACCGAAAATGTTTTCTATTTTAATTTTTTTCAAATTTTCAAATATTTTATTTATTTCTTTATAAACTTTTACATTTTTTATATTTATTTTTATTTATTCATTCATTTTTTATTAAATATTTGTATTTTTTACTTTACTTTTAGGGTCTTCGGGGAAATATTAGGGGTCTAAACAGACCCCTGATATTTCCCTTTTAAAATAGAAAAAGAGATTGAGAACACAGAGTCCTCAATCTCTTTTTCTGTGTCCCCTGTTATCAATGAACAGGAATCCTTTATGAGTGTTCCTGTTCATTGATAACATGAGGACAGAGTGTGTTTACTATAACCACAATTATGAATGAACAGGAGGTGATGTAGATCACTTCCCATTCATTCATAATTGAGGATATAGTACACATACCATGTCCTCAATTATGAACAAACACTCAGTGATCACTGATCGCTGAGTGTTTGTACCTTGCATTCCTATCTGACACGCTGTCACAGGAGGCTGAACGAGGGGTGCGGGGAGGAGAGCTCAGCCTCCTGTGACAGCGCGGCCTGTCTCCGCCCCCACACCGCTCTGCCGGACTGTGACAGGAGGCTGAGCGGTGTGGGAGGAGCGGCTCTCCTCCCGCAGCGCTTGGCTGGCTATCACAGTTTCTCTCCTCCCCGCTGGGACACAGAGCAACACCCAGCGGGGAGGAGAGAAAGCAGGGATGCGCCGATGTATCAGCAGGTAAATGGCACTTTCGGCATTGTGCCAAAGGTGCCATTTTCGGCCGTTATGTTTCGGCGGCCAATATATCGGTGCATCCCTACCTAAAACCAAACATGTAATATATTGCAGCTTGCTGATCCTTAGGTGTGGTGGTTGCATTAGTTTTCTTTGTTTTGGCTTTTTTGTCCCTATTTTCACCTGGTGATCTGGCCTTTAACACACTTTGGGTGCATTATAAGAGTTTTGCCCGACTTATAGTCAGGCAGATGCCGTTCACAAAGCACTAGCACCACTAGATGGTGCTGATGAGTAATTCCTATGCTCATCAGTGCCATCTAGGGGGCGCTAGTGCTGTGCACACAGCATCCACCTAGCTATATGCCAAGTAGAACTTTTATAAATGAACCTCTTCCTGTCTCAGAAGTAACAGAGTCACCCTCGGACAGCAGCATTGTCACCCTGTGACAATGGAGCGGGTAGTATTAAATAGGGAATGCATGGTGCAAATTTTGGCTTGTTCTTGATAAACTGGCCAAAATTTGCACAGTGGGTGCCTTCCACCCAGCATCCTTCAATAAGCTGATCAAAGGTGGGAAAATCTAAAGCCAAGCAACTGTAAGCTCTGTTCGGGAATTCTGACAGCGGCCGCCACATTTTTTGCTTTTTAATGCACACTGTTTGTGCATTTGACGCATGTACACAAAATCCTCAGGTGTGAATGGGGACTAAGGGCCTGTTCACACTAGCCGGAGGGGCTTGTGCGTTATGCAGGGGTGGACAACTCCGGCCCCCTAATTGTTGTGGAACTACAAGTCCTATGAGGCATTGCAAGACTGACAGTTACAGGCATGACTCCCAGAGGATTTGTAGTTAAGGCACAGCTGGAGGGCCGGAGTTGCCCACCCCTGGCGCTTTGGCAGCTTCGGCAGTGTGCGTTGTATTGCATACAGCAGGAGCTGTCACTGTCTACTTTGTCTAACTTTATTGGTAGTGCGCAATGTGTACACTCCATTCAGGGCGCTCAGTGCGCTGCGTTGCTCTGCAATGACCTGTGTAAAATGGACACATAGAAAGCAATTGTTTTCTATGTGTCCTTGCGGTGACCTTGTGTGAACGGGCTCTGAAAAAAGAAAAGGAACGCAGCCACCACATCTAAGTATTGGTAAGCTGCAATATATGACATATTTACTTTTGGGTTTAGATATGCTTTAAATATTATTTGCTGCCTATTTACAATGTTTTACATCATGCAAACATTAGTAATTATTATCACACAGCTAAATATGTAATCCAATGTAATCTACCAGGACAACAACATAAGTAAGTGGTTGTAGAAGAAGCAAGACTCGACTGTACGATGTATTTACATTGTAGCAACAAGCATCTTGTGGCTTCTGCTGTCACCTGGACACAGATAACACCAGGACAAAGTTAACATTGACGGCACAAGCTGGCTGTAATTCAAAGAATTGACCTGCACATGGTCGGCCATGCTTGCTGGGTAAGCCTGTCTGTTGGCTGTTGCTATAGTTACCGAAAGCCAGTGCAACCCAATGAGCTGTGCGCAGCCCTGCTGAAAGGACCAGCCATTTTTTTCCCGGGGAGCGGTGTGCTTGCTGGATTCATGCCGTTATAGCCTTGATTTAGAGAAAAGGAGGAAACACACATTTACCGGAGCAAGGAGAAGACAAGGAAGCTGCCAGAGCGGAGGATGCCTGCAGTGATGTCTGTTGATGAGCTGGCCACTGCTTCTCCCCTGAGCTGATCTCAGAGGATGGAATGCAGGCTGATCATGCTGCATATCCTTTATCAGGCGGTGGAATAGCTTCTGTTTTTTTGTCTTGTATAGGCAAGGTTCCCCCTGCAACGTTATCTGAACAGCTCATTGCTGGCTGATCACAAGGGAAGCTTAGTGACCCTAAGAAAGGGTGGTGCCCTTCCTGTAAGCTGGCCTTTCTTTTTATTACAAGAAGACAGCATAGTGGAGAGGCAGGTGTATCCATCAGGACTGCCATCAGGACTTCACAGAGCCCTACTGTCCCTTTATAGTCCCTACCACCCTGAGCAGATCGTTGGCTGGACACATCTACCCCAAGCAAGGGACAGCTGAGTACCTGTCACCTGTACAAGGTAAGAGGACACTCAACATCTAGGTATTAAAATAATACCATGCTATAAATTAATGTTTTTTTGATCCAACAACTGCAACCTTATTTGTAATATTGTACCATTTGACAATGACATTTAACATCATCTAACAACAATTTAACATCTGGAAATCTAACAACATCTACACATCAAACAATTTAACATCTACAAATCCAACATCAGTTATTCATCGTCCAACAATGTAACAACATCTACACATCTATCAATTTAACATCTACAAACCTAACATTAGTTTATCAACATCTACACATCTACCATCAATTTGACAACATCTACAGCAGTGGAATAATATTGACATGTTGAGTATACTGTGTTTTCCTTGTTAATAAATACACTCATGCTCTGCAGCAAGAGGAATGCATGCTTTGTATTGATGCTGCACATTCTGTAGAATTTGGTGCTAACTCAGGGAATGCCAATGATAGAAGGGTGTTTGGACTGTCTGATTGCTCCTTCTCATTGTTGTGTTAACTAGGTCAGGTTGGCGGGTGGCATGTCTTTTTATTCCAAGAGGGCATGTGCGCGCCCAGGCTAGTAAAAGTTGGTAAATCATTCTCCATGTGTGGGTTGGAGGTGCAGCGGCCAGCCTGGCGCAGGCACAGAAGAGTTAATAAATGAAGCATACATCCCGGCTGTAAGCTCAGCATACCTACTGTTCTTCTTAATATGGAGTCAGGGCTGGTAAATAGGCAGCCAGCTGGGAGTGGAGCCCATACAGTGTGATGCTATTACACTATGCATATTTCCTCAAACAAAACAGGATCTTTTACACAATGAAAGCGCTCTGTTACTTGCTCAGATATTCATAACCACAGCACAGACCAACACCCACCGATAATTCATTTTCTTCCCTGAATGGTCTCTTAGGGACAGATCGGCTTTCACTGTTGCTAAAGGTCAATAGGCAATAGAGACACTTATCAGTTGATGTTGAAATATCAAGGATACAATAAGAGCAGGTGCTGAATGCTTGGCACAAGCACTTGGCATGGTTCTGATCAGAAGGGAGAAGGGTGCTGCATTTGTTCAGAGAGCTAAGGATTATTTTCAAACGAAACATCTCAATTTTGTTAATATTCTGTTGGTGAATAGTGACATATCCACATGACCCTTTCTTGTACTCTTTATTTGTTTAATAGATTGTATGAGGTCAAACAATGAGATTCATGCCATGATCACAATATGCATACTGACAATCACAGCCATATTCTTTCAATAAACTTTATTAATCGCCTCGGCTGTGCACAATAACATACAATGACAGTTTCTGTGCCAGCATCACTGTAAATATGCAGGCTCTTGTATCTCTGTGTTTTGGCACAACCTTTTTATTTTGGCAATATGTAATTTTCTTTTTGACCTGGTATTTGGGTCTGAGTGTATTAATTCTTTACTTCTATAATGCACCGAGGAGCTATTGATTTTTGTTCTCATCTATTGTCATCCCATCCCCCATCCTATAATATTGAATGCTACTAGAGACATACTGTGCCATGATTCTTCCAAGGGACATACACATAAATGCAGTGTGGGGGATGTGAATGTATGATCCTACTCTAAAGGGTCTATGATTACTAGAAATACAAACCAGAAGCGTTGGTAATCCATGTCACTACAGATAAGGTATAAAAACCCAATGACGCTGGGTGTGTATGGATCAGTAGCCTTTTTATTGCAACTCATTCTGCAGGAAGGTGATTGAAGATGAAATGAGGTGACTTTAAGTGACAGGCACAAGGCCCACCCAGGATTATGTCAGTGTGA